ATATTCTTGCTATACGTCAATTTCTTCGCAATCTTTCCTAGTCTATCCATGCATCCGTGGTCCTATGGCTTAACACTAGATTTATCAAAGCGGTCAAAAAAAATGACCGGTTTATTCATTTTAGAATAATTATTTAAATTTATAATGTATTTTTTGAGATTTTTTTCTGCGACTTGTATTGCATTGTGTTAAATAATTAAATTGATTAATGTACTTTTTCTCTTTATCACCTTTTAAAAAGAAAGAAAAAAGAAATAAAAATAGGTATATGTTAATCGTCGGTAGTTCTAGTGTTGATCCCATGGTTTAGCGCGGAAATTCGAAATTCGTGGTCCCGTCGATGATGGTCGAGCACAGATCTCGAAACAACGTTGATACGATCGATCATTGAATAATGATCGACTATCAACAAAAATTTCGGACGCAACTAGCGGAAACTGAGCTGAGCTCTGCGCTAGCGTCTTTTGAGAAACACCAAGGTAGTAGCTCTCAGATTTTGGATGCAAATAGCGGTAACTGAGCCAAGCTCTGCGCTAAAGCATCCTGCGGAAAACTCCCTCCCAAAATTCAGATGCAAATGGCGGTAACTGAGCCGAGCTCTGCGCTAAAGCATCCTGCGGAAAATTTCCTTCCGAAATTCAGATGCAAATGGCGGTAACTAAGCCGAGCTCTGCGCTAAAGCATCCTGCGAAAAACTCCCTCCCGAATTTCAGATGCAAATGGCGGTAACTGAGCCGAGCTCTGCGCTAAAGCATTCTGCGAAAAACTCCTTCCCGAAATTCAGATACAAATGGCGGTAACTGAGTCGAGCTTTGCGCTAAAGCATCCTGCGGAAAATTTTTTGTACGAACTCTTAGGTATAGAATTTCTAATTAGGTAGGATTTTCTACTAGATAAAGTTTGTGGGTAGGTAGGTAGGATTTTAAAACTTCTTATCACTTCTATATTGTATTTTTTTTTTTAATTCTTTGCTGTCGATAAACTTTGGAACTTCTGCTTTGGCAGTTAGTTTGTAGTTTATTGATGACAAAAATAATGATAAAACTTCGGGTGGGCAAACAGCAAGATTCTCTTTCGAAAAACGAAAGATGTTTCTTGCGTAAATTATGAAAAAGTTTGAACGTTTAGACGTTTAAATGTTTAGATTAATAAATTTCACTAATAAAATATTACTACTTTTTGAATTATAAGAGATACTTTTGATTATAAATAAAAAATCGTATTGTTCAGCTCTTTTTAACTAAAGTATTTTGCATTATACATAAAACTTTTGAACGTTTAAATGATTTTATTGACATATTATTGACATATTGGCATATTATTTTCATTTTGTATTATCTTGTATATTATTTCGATGGAATACAGGATAATATATTAAGAAAAATTGTAATAAGCTAAATGTCCCAATGGCTGTGGATATGTCTCAATCTCCGAAAATATATGAACAAAATAATTTTTTAATATTCATAAATATAATGTCCGGAAACTGTGGTAAATTTACGTATCCAATTATTTTTGCAAATATTTAATATCGTCGTTTAATAAATGCAAATTTTGGTTTTAAATTTCCGCGAAGTAAATTTTAATTTTTATTATATAATATTAAAAATATTATTTTCATAGAAAACATCACATTTTTAATAATAATTAATTCTTAAATATATTGCCACTGGAACATTTCTCTTAAATATTGTAAACTTGTAAAAATCTGTTTCTCATTTGTACAAAATATTGTATTAATATATTGTATATTATATTGTATATTATATTATTATATAATTGTATATTGTATTACATATATATATGTATATCACATTATTGCATCTGTATGCAGCATTGTTGTATATATTTCTTTTTCATTGTATATGTTTTCTGAATTTAATATTACTTATTGTATACTATTATTATATTGTATTTGGTTTTATTAAAATCTTTTCTCGACAAACAATGTATTTTATTTCACAACATTCTTTAAATTTTCTTTCCATTGAAAGAAAGAAAATGATCGTACCAGCAGAGAGAAGCCTGAGAGCGATCATCCCCCCGATTTAGCTGCAACCACAATTCAGGACGCCTCTATGTGCACAAAACGTGCTATGTATCTAAAAGTTATAATCTTGTTACGTAAAAATTGTAAAGTAAGGGCAAAATATAAAAATAGAATTTACAAAAATTAAAAAAACTTATATGTCGCGATTCTTGGATGCAATTTTTATTAACAAAATTGTCACGTATATTTATGTTAAAAAGAACTTATTGTAAATTAAGCTTTAACATAAAAATAAATAATGACATGTGCATGTTTTTTTATTGAAAATTTATTTTATATACATCAATGTTACCCTACTAGCTCTGTGTTACCGACACTTTGTGCACATAGAATGGAACAGAACCAAACATTGTGCACATAGCATGTTACCCACTGGAAAGTATCGTGTACATGGCTCAGTAGTTCAATGTGCACGTTTTGTGCACATAGAGGCGTCTTGAATTGTGGTTGCAGCTAAATCGGGGTGATGACCGCTCTCAGGCTTCTCTCTGGTATAAGTAAAATTTTAACAAAATCTATTTTTTCAAAAATAAAGCTGCTTGCGTTTATTGCATATATGAGAAAGGGAAAGTTAATGACAACACAATGCGGTAATTTATTATTTCTATTTATTATCATTCTCTGGACGTATAATTCACATGTGTAACAAATAAATAACATTAAATAAACAAGCTACATTTCTGGAATGAAACTTCAAAGACAATAATATGTTGCACTGTAAATAGGAGATAAAGAGAATTAAAAACAGAATAATTATATTATAATACTTTGTACTAGATGAGATGACGTGATAGGATTGAGATACCTGATCTTCAAAAAGCGAGGAAAGGTCAGAGAGATGTACAGTATAACGGATGCAAAAATGATATTCATTCTAGAACTATCCTGTCTGACAGAATAAGTGTTCTATTCGTCAATCTCGTGATTATAATTAACATTTGATGAAATTGAAATCACAGAACGTCTGCTATATTATAATTATAATTAAGTTATAAACTATTACGGCAAACTGGCAGTTTTTTCTGTAGATCTGCACAAATAAAAATGGAGGAATTATAATTTAATTTACACTTTTTCAAGATCCATCTAAACATTCAATAAGCACGTTACTTACTTATCAATAGTCTTATTAGGAGTATCATTTGAAGAGCCTTGCACAGCTATATCTAGAACAGCTTTTTGTCCTATAAGAAAAAAAAATGTATCAATATGAAATTAAAAAACTAAAATAAAAAAATAAGACTTAAAATTGTAATACCGTGCGTGTGATACAATGCTGGCGACCAGCTATAACTGTTGGGGCTCGGAATAGTATCTGCTGTCATCGCAGTGCTTGTAGATGATGATGATGTACCTTCCTGTGCTAAGGAGAGTGCAGCGGCGCCTCCACTAGTAGCGTTATTCTTTATGTCGGACGAAATATTTTTCCTGTATTAAACAAGACACAATTGAAATGCCTGCAGTTGTGTGTGTGTGTTAGAAAAATAAAAAGGATAAGCATAAAACATTCTTTTATTCTAATTCGTCTTCATTCTAATCTTTTTGCAGCTAATTTTTACCTCGATTTTCCTCCACTTCCTCCGCAAGTAGCCAAATCTTTTTGCTTCACCGGCGACAATTGAATGGATTCGAGCAATTTGTCAAATTCGGACATCTTGCTGTTATCATTTATTAAATTCATGTTAGTAGACGAGCTCGGAGAGGACTGGCGTCGAGACAGCAGGTGCTTTGACATAATTTTGTTACTGTCTAAAAGTACTAAAACAATACGTTTTTAATATTTTTGTCGCAATCTTCACGTTATTTTCTAATAATCTTTCACTTACCGTTTGGCACTATCAAATCTAGGCGCAATCTAGACGGCTCCATGTTGTGATTGATTTTATTAACTGGCAGCTTTGAAATGTCATTCTCACAATCTATCGAGTTGGAACGCGTCGCTGGTTCAGACCTGGTCGTTTGACTGCCGGAAGGCATCATCGCGGCCAGATCCGACTGACAAATGCTCGGCAATCGGTTCAATTTTGTTTTAGCGCTGTAAATCGCCTGTGGCTGAGGATGATGAAAGACACAATTAGATTGTTTATTGTCGGTACTTGGATTTAGATCGTTGCAGGCATCAAGCTCAGGGTGCTTGTGCGAGTACGTCGAAGTGGCAGTAGGTTGAACCATGGCGTTGCAGTGCAACGGACTGGAACTGTGACGTCGCAAACTCGTGAGCGAGCTCCTAGAGTCGCAATTTTCGTTCGCTTGTTGGCTAAGACACAGGGAGGTCCACGCAGAGTTCATTTCTTGCATGTCAAAGAGGTGCACTAACATCATATCTCTCATCCTGAAATACAGATGACATTAAATTATTTATAGTTATATAATCATGTGTTTTTTTAATTATTGATGATATGTTTTCTACACCCAAATATTTTGCATGATATAAACTACGATTTTATTGAGCATAATGTATATTTTTCTCTTTTCACAATCAGACTAAAAATCATTATTTGTTAAACAATCACTCTCCTATTTTATATTTAACAAAATTGCTATCAAAAATTGATTCTATTAAACGGAAAAATAGCATTGTATTTAAATTGAAAATTATAAAAATATGGAGTCAACTAAAATAATTATTTTCGTAAAATTTGTAGTTACAATTTATATATTTCTTTTTATCATTGTTTGAATATTGTAATTGTAATATATATACCTGCATGTATCGGTATTCCTGTTGTTCTGTTGCTTTGCACACTGCTTGTTCTGAACCCATGACGCAAGAGATTCCGCAACTTCAACATCATTTTCTCCTACAAATATTTTAATTTATCATTATTATTAGAAGTAGTTTTATCCTGATTAATTACAAATCACATTTTTACATCTCATTTATCATCGATTTTTCTAATATGTATTTTATGTACGTCACAGTTAATTAAGTTGCTACATTTATTAAAAATACGTTACTAGCAAACAGTTACAATAATTTTAAATAAGTGATTTCCATATATGACGATTACATCTGCATAAATAATTTATTTTTATAATTAAAAAATTTATATTTCAGATATCTAAATAGTTAAATAATTAGAATTGTCAAACTAATCATGGTAAAACAACTACATAAAATCTGTATTAATTGTATATCAGAACATAGTTAAATATAGATGATTTATGACAAAATATAAAAGAGATTTAAACGTCAAGATAAAGATAGAATCCTACAAGATCGCATAAAAGTTATTAGGAATAATGGACATCGAGTTATCTTTCACATATTCTTCATCTTGTCTTTGATTTATGGGTTTCTCGTTTTCAACGTCTCTATCGACCACGCACGTTCGTCGCCTTCGCTCGTTTCCGTATAAATTTCTGTTTGAGCTAGCACCTAATTTTACAATATGTCATTCAATTTTAATTAATAATTCATAAAATTCTCTTGTTCAACGTTTCCCTTTTACATTCTATAACTTTTACATTCTATAACTAAATGGATATCTTGTACGTATATATAAATTTTATACCTGACATAGTTTCGTCGTCTACGTCGTTTTCATCATTTGTCAGGTCCAAGAGCGTAATGTTGGGTTCGTTATGTTCACACTCGTCCATGAAAATATCATGTTCGCTTAATTCCTATAAAGAACGTAACGACAGAAAATTATTCTCAATAAAATAGTTAAGAGATTAAAAGTATAAAAATTAATGCGGAGAATATACTCACGCCGTCACTACTGCTGCTACTACTGGATGAGAGATTCAACGTTGGAGACAGATAAAATGACGACGAGGAATGGACATCACCAGCCTGGCACTCTCCCGGTGACACGTTATTGGTGCAACGCTGCGCAACATCGCCTTCAACAATGTTGACTCGATGCGTGTTGCCTGTCATCGATGACAATGCCGACACGGACAGCAGAGGATCGCTAGCGCTGTTTTTCGACAGTAAGTTCAACGGCTGTTGACCGAATATGCTAGGCGACGAGTAGGGCGACGAAGAGGGGTTGAGATGAATCCCCGCAGCTTGACATTCTCCGAGTGATATATTGTTGGCGCGACGTGGCGATGAAGTATTGTCAGCCTCAACCACATTCAAATTGTTGCTGGCACGATGCGCCTTCAGCGACGTCTTCGATGATAAAGTTGAAGCGGAGCTGAGAGAATGTATACCCGAGATCTCGCCCAATTCGCACATTGGCATCAATTGATCGCCTGGCATTGTTGCGCTATTGCCGGAAAGAGCACTCGATATCAATCTATTGGAAACAAAAGTTTTGTTATTGAAAAGACATTCGTTCAGAAAAAAATCAAGAGCTACAAGGGAATAATAAATTCTTGTGCTAAACTATTGTTCAATCTGTTAAATTTTCCATAAAATCTACCATGCTTGTCAATCTTTATTCAAAATCCAGATATTTATCTTGGATATCTTGAAAATGGAAATTTATCATAAATTGTCATGAAATTTATCATAAATTTATCATAAATTTCTTTTACATCTATATCATATATATAATTTTGCTTCCGCTTTGAAGGTTGAAAATAAATGAAATACGAGAGACATAAAGGAATTCAACTAATCTGGTGCAAACTACTTAAAATATTATATTGCATCATTGATACCTCGTTGATGGTCCATTTGCAGTGGGACACATGTCAATTGTTCGCGTGGCGTTTGAATTAACCGTTTCGCTTGCATCTTGCTGTAAAGATGCATTTCCAGTTGATCCACACATTGGAGTTCCATTAGTGACTCTAGTAGCCGCCACGGCATTACGTGAAATTTCTATCGCTAATCTCTGCAGATAAAATATTTATTTTAAAAAATTTGTGTAGAAAGTTAAATATTTCTACGAAGCAAAGTAAAAGCTAAAAAAACACATTTTTTAATTATGTGTTCACAGGTTGTATAAATTTTAATTATCATGTAGATTCTATGTTAAATTACCTCTTTCAATTCGTTAATTTGACCGAGGTACTGATTTTGGACCGTTGCTAGTTGACTAATGTACCATTGTTGGTCCCTGCAGCGTTGGTAAAATGTCGGTGGTCGTACCTGGAATCTATTGATTTAATATTAAATATAATCGTCTTTAACACACCAATAACTGTGAACTTTTAATCTGCACAAAACTATATATAAAAATAAATCGAGTTTTTTTGTTAAAATAAAACTTGTTTTAACAAACGGATTTTCTTCATGAGAAAAGAAAGACTAAAATTCAGTATTTTATTCCTATAATTGATAAGTTTATAAAACTAAGAGAAAGAGAGAAAAAAATATTGTTAAAAAAATATATACCTCAATATAAGAGTATCCAATTCAGTATTTAAATAACCTTCTGTTGCAAGTAGGTCTAATCGGAAGAATCTATTATATCCCCAACATTCGCCGATCTCAAAATCCGATGCAAATTCACGAACAATATTTTTACTCGTATCACGAGAGCCTTGATGAATCATTTCAACTCTATACTCATACCTAAAAGTATTATTAAAGATATTTATTTTAACATTTTTAAATGCACTTATAATTGACAGTACAATCTAATACGCATCATACAAATCATATAAATTTACATACTTTGACGTCTCCGGCAATCCAGCGCTGAGCTCTAAGAAAACTGATAAATAATTTCCACGCACAACTCCATTGCCATCCGGATACACCTTCAGTCGCCAGCATAATCCATTTACATGCAATGGTGCGGAATACACTGGATCAGCCTTGAGTTGAAGCTGAGTAAAATTTTGCATCGCAAACGTCGCGCTGTCGTAGCCCGGCACAATTTCGCTGCAATAAAATAACATCTTACATGAAATTTACAATTATAAAAAGTTTCATTATTTTTAATCATGATTATGATGCAATAAAAATCATGTGTATACGTTAATTATTTTATCAATATCTACAGCTCTTACCTGTGAAAGTCAGCAGGTACTGGTGCGGTGACAAAACTCGTCATTGGCTTTTTGCGAACTTGATGTATTTTGCGAGAAAGCTCTGCGCTCTTGACAATCAATTCAGAGCGTGTGCATGAGTGCAACTGATACTCCACTTCTTGCAACAGTGCCTCTAATTGTTCAGTTTCTAAAGTCAATGAATTCTTTTGACCCATTAAAGTCAGCAGCTTGGCCTTCAACTGAGAATCCAGGCGAGCTATCATTAACTCTATTGCGTTTCTGATCTCTCTGACTCTCTCATCTTTTGCTGCTCTTACAGATTCTACATTTCTCTCCTAATAACAGGCAAATAATTAAATTGTAAAACAAATGCACTCCTATATTTATACCGTCGTTACATTTTTTCTATATTTTTTAAGAGTTAAAATTCAAACGTACCACTTCTTGAACTAGGCTGATCAGTTCCATAAGTCGTCTATTTAATTGTCCCACTTCTGCTTTAATTTGTGTAACATGTTGCTCATAAACATCTTCTAAAGGTTTAAAGGTATGTCCTGAATGAGTGCCACCCCAAAGGGCACATTGATGACAGATACATTTGCGACAAGTCCAACAGTATACTGATAATTTTTCTTGATGTACTGTGCATCTGTGACAATATTTTTCACACATTATAGATAGATATTACATATTACAAATAAATGACATGTATAAACAAACGTTTCAAATAAACAAAAATAAATTATTAGTAAAGAATTCTGAGTAAATACCCAAGTTTTCAAACTAAAAAAAAAAGAAGAACAAAGGTATCAAAATTAGAGTGCTAAGAACAAACCTGTCTCTGCTAGAATCATCATGTCGAAAATTTGATATGCAAACAGCTTGCAACGTATCAAGTTGTTGAGTCACTTCCTCTACCCAGCGACAATTCACTAATTCATGCAAGTGAAGAGAAGCTCGGCAGTGAGGACACTGAGAACGTTGCTCAGTAAGCCATCTCCTGATGCAGGTGTAGCAGCATAATTTACTACAGTGAGGACAAAGATGCGCATCTCTCAGCTTTTCCATACAAATAAAACATCGGAAAACTTCTGCCAATGTCTGAAAACAATTGGTTACTTAATTATCATTGTAATCTAATATACTACGCAAAATTTTATTATAAAAATACAATTCTGAAACAACAAAGTCAAAAATTTGTAGAAAAAAAAAGTAGAAATACTACTATAACTCTTAAGAGAGGAAAAAACGTTGATGAAGTTCTATAATTGCTGCTATGCAGTAACAGTAAATCCATCCGTTTTTAGCTGCGTTTTCTCACACTTCTTGCGTTTAAAATGATAAAAAAGTACAACTGGAACGCGAATAGACCCAATTACAATTATTACTAACCTCGACGCTGTGGTCATCCGCGGTTTTGGACGAAACGGACGGATCTCGGTTGGCCATCCTTCTACTCGAAGCACACTGCACAAAAGTAATGCACGACCGTTATCGACGAATATCGATCACCTTAATGACAGTGTCGTCCGAAAGACACATGTCCCAGAATTAGATCACGGCGATGTGTTTAATCCGGAAGCAGTAATCATTTCAAGCATCGCATTCGATCGCGCAAGCTTATGCGGTTTCGCTGTAAAGTGATTCGAACATCTCGTGAATGAAAGAACGTTTGTACAAGAATACATATATGTTATTTCGTTGGGGTTCGAAATTTTTAACAAAAACCGTTAGCAAGTCGTTCCTGCATACTCCGTAAACAGTGTATGCAAGTGATACAAGGTACGCGATAAGCATGAAACGGACGTTACGAAGAAAGCATACTTGCAGATCAAGAAGGATGCACTAATCTTATTGGTCAATAATCTAGTAAATTGGTTCAATTTTGTAATTTTCATTACATTGCATGATACACTATCGATGTTCTGATTATTCTCACTAGATGGTGTTGTATCGAAATCGGTGACTGTTTTCCATCTATGTATTTCGTTTATATGGTAATGTTGAAGGTGCGAATTATAGGTGCAAATATTATCATTATTTGTTAAAGAATGATATTTGGGTGATAAAGCGTGCAAAAAGAGAGATGGCATTGTTTCGGGCATTGCCCGCCAAAATCGGCACGACGTCCAAAATCATCTCACGGAGTGTTCCGGCTGTGTCTTATCACGTGAATGTAATATTACATATATTATACATACCTATTTCCTTATCGCCCTTAACCTCTAATTGCATGTCAGAATAATTTTTTATTATTATTTTTATATTTATATTTATATTACTGTATTTAGTATTAAATATGTGACGTGATATAAAGATTCTGAATGTGACTTATTTTTTTTTTCGTTTGATAGTATCGGATTTCAATGTTGGATTAATCTTGTATTTATACCATTATAAACACCGGTAAAACATGGATTTTAGAAAGTTTTGCTTATAAAAAGCGATTTGTGTGCATATTTAATGAAAAATAGCGATTTCCTATTATAATTTAAGATATTTTGCAATTGTCAGCTGATTATTTATATGGCGCAATATGGCGTAATTGCATAAATATATCGCATTGATCTTATTTGCGTCACTTTACGACAACATTTTGATATTTATATTTTATTACAAATTCGTAAATATTATATTATATTAGAATTTGTCTAGAATAAGAATATAAATATTTTATTATTTTATTACATAAATATTTGTTTAAAACTTTTTATCATAAATAATAGATTTATTAAATAATTATTTTATATGATATGCGGGACGTTATCAATTTTACTTAAAAAAAATGATAGAATATTCTATTTTTATAATGTAACAGGTAATTGATCACTATGAGAATCCAAGAAATGTTGGTTCATTGGACAAGAATGATACACAGGTTGGTACTGGTCTTGTAGGAGCACCTGCTTGTGGTGATGTAATGAAACTTCAGATCAAAGTTGATGAAAATGGCAAAATAGTTGATGCTAAATTCAAGACATTTGGTTGTGGTTCTGCTATTGCTTCGAGTTCTTTAGCAACAGAATGGGTCAAGGGAAAGACGGTGAGATATTTTCAATTTATCAAAATACAGTATTTAAGAAAGGATACATATCATATTATTATACTTTTGGAAAATATTCTGTAAAAAAGATTTAATTTTGTCTTACAATTTTATCTTTTAACTTTTTATTAAATTGTTCTTAGGTGGACGAAGCATTAGCGTTGAAAAATACTGATATTGCCAAAGAGCTTTGCCTCCCGCCAGTCAAGCTGCACTGTTCGAGTAAGTATACATTGTGTTAAGTAAAATTTTTCTTTTCTTTCACTAAATCTATATTAATATCATGCCAAAAAATAATGTAAAAAATATTGTATCTTTAGTATATACAACAAATCTAAATTAGAAAATGTACCAGCCAAATATTAAGTGCAATATCGCAATTTTAATTCAGTTTTTTTTTTTTGTGAATTACAGTGCTTGCTGAGGATGCAATTAAGGCTGCTCTATCAGATTATCGCATCAAACAACAATCAAAACCAAATGTGGAGGATAAGGCAACCAACAATGCAAATTAAACTCGGTTCTACAAGTACGTAACAGTAATAAAAATAGATGTTCTTTATATGTAGATATTTATTAAGAAAATTATTGCATTGTAATCACCATATTTAAACAGAGCTGTGGGATACGCATTCCTTAAGCTATATATATATATATATATGTGTATATATATATATATATATATTTCTATATATATATCTTCAAATGTTTATTAAGGAGGTGGTAGTAAATTACTTGTACCCATATCTCACTATTTTTGTTAGATGAAATAAATTTATTTCACTAAATCTTGACACAAGCGAGTAATTTAAATCGCGTTCCTAAACGCTCCAAAAGTAATACATCGCAAACGATTAATTTCCATTCTTTTCGCTCAATATATCTGTTGACTTTATCGTTTGTCGTACATCGAAAAAGATACAGTGGGTTGAATTACGTCATATAAGCAGGGGCCACAGCGACTGACGTAATAAATAGCGTGCGTTGACCTTGTTGCTATCAATGTGGAGCACTCTAGACCCACACAAGCCATGTGACGACCTGAGTAACTCAGAAAACACGCGGATATTTTGCGTCTGCGACGATTTTTATTCGATTATACTGTAACAGCGCAATTTCTTGTGATATCTCGTAATGTTTTTGCGTTGCACAAAAAGTTTATTCTCTCGCCACGTATATTATCTGAGAATTTAATACTCGTAGTGAATATTTTTTTTTCTCGCTCTGTTAAGTCATCAAATTTTATTTAGTGCTGGAGATAATTTTGCTTAGCTAATCAGCTATTGATTACAAGAATGCAGATTTTAAAATATGAAAAATAATCCACTTAAAAGTGAACTGAGAAATATTCAACTGATATCTTAATGTGTTTATTAAACAAAATTAAAGTTTTGCAGGACTTGGCTGCACTAATTATGAAAATTAGTTTTCTTTTCAAATGCTCTATCTGCATCGAACTTATCCATTTGCGCCCAAAAATACTCTTATTCCTTTTTTCCAATCAACAATTTATTTTATTTAAATTAATCGAGGTCGTTCGTTCAACAAATTATGCTGATAACCCGAAAGTCAAGTGTCGTAGATTTGAATCGTCGCCTTCAATCTAATCGCAAGTAATGTACTTAATGATTCCTTAAGGCGATACAACGAGTCATTGGTTTCGCAATAGATAATCTGTTTCGATAACGGCTGTCTTGAAACGCGGGAAACCGCGTTTCTGCATTTATTGCAGATTATTTCTAAGAACTTTGCGAGAATGTTCGCCACGAAGGAACGCTTGTTTTTTCAAAGCATTTTGTAAACGAACGAAAGAAAATGGTATTAATTAAGAATAAAGGGAAGGAAATCAGTTCTCCATTAACATATTATTTTCTTCCGAACATTTTTAAGCAAATTTGTTACTTGGGATCTGAAAGAGCTTCTGTTATTATTTCCACTCCAACTCGAAAAACAATATACTATTGATATGAATACTAGAGTACGTAATGATCGTTAACGTCCGCGTGCCTTTACTTGTAATTGTCATCACAATACCAATTGATGCTTAATAAGAATTTATGTTACAATCGCGTTGTTGTCATACATACAGACGATCGTATGTTTCCACTACGTTTATAAAAGGAAACAACTAATTACTTAAGTCATAGTCACGAGGCTATTTTATTTTGTTCAGCATGATCTGATCATTCTATTTGTTGGACACTTGCTAAAAGATTTTACAACGAATGATAATAAAGAAATATTGACAATACATATTTTTTATTCGGAAATATTATAGATGCAACATGAAATTTACGTCTGTAGAATATTCATACAGCGCGTAATGCATTAAATTCGTTATGTTTTAGGTGTTTTTATAGATTTAGATGTTTTTATAGATTTAGGATTTTTGTAGCTAGAAAAGTTACACGATATGTAAACCAATGATTGGCGAATTAATGAAAAAATGATTAATCTTTTTCATAATCTTATACATTGATTTTAATCTATTTTTTTTTTTCGATATCAACAATTTCGATGAGAGTTGCACGCGCATAATTATATAATATTATCACACAATTCTTACGAACTTATTTCCGATCATCGATGATGTTTTTCAGACTTTATCGTGACTCTTTGTAGATCTAGTACAGATAATACAACGGAATATTGTTTTAGCATCTTGTTATATTACAATCGATAATACGCATAACATGGCATTCGAATGCTTGATGCATTCGAATAATTTTTCTTGGATAATTTTACGCTGAATGAAAAACTTGTTAAAAGTCTATTTAAAATTACCATAAATTAATGTTTCGTTATCTTGCAATTTAATAATCAATAACTTTACATTTTACTTGAATTTATTTAATATTATTTGATTCAATTATTTTTTAGCTGTCAAAAATGTTTTTGCTTTAAACACAAATGAATTTTATGGTGGTGGATAATTTTTAATTTGTGTTTTAACAAATGCGATAATGTTGCTCCAAGATAGAGAATTGTCCTGTTAAGAGATTCGTATTCCATTTGTCTTCTCATTTGCAAAGTGGAACACAATCGATGACTCGAGTGATTCGGGCGTTAAATTCACGGACGGTGATGATGACGAATGCTATAGCGTGCGAAATACTATGCTTTGCGTTTCAATCACAAATTTTCCATTCCGTGGTATTCAGTCGTCATTTCTTCTTCGTGCTTGCGGGCCTAGCAAGGTCGAAAGACAAAGACGTGGATAAACGGACAGCGATGAAATCGAGTTCGACGTTCATACGTATTAGTTCAAATATGAAGGCTATAAACAATTTTTGGCACTTGTGTCCGCGGGGTATTCACCTCCATCGTTCGCGTTGCAAAACGAAAGAAGTGAAAACACGAAACGTACGACATAGCGAAAAGTGAAATGCGTGTCATTAAAAAGTGATTCCTCGATTTTTGTTTTGTTTGCAGTCTTCTTTTCAGATTTATTCGCTTCGCGTAAAGAACCGTTCTAGAAAATTTAATCAAATAATTTTTAATGCTATTTAAGCTAGCTATTTAAGACAAGACAAAGGCCTGCTTAAACGATTAAAATTAGCTAGTATTTATGGAAACAGCTCGCAGTGTCTGGTAGTCGGAGGAGCAAAGCTTTGAGTAGCCCATGGAAATTTCCTGTAGCCACTTCTTTGTGCTCGATTTGTAGCTCCGTAGAAGTGTGATGTAAGTCCTTGATAACCATAGATCGAGGTTGAAAGGAACCATTTTAAAATAATATAATAAATATATAAAGTTTTTTCACATTGTAATTCCTGAAAAAAATTATAAATGTGAATGAATGTTTAGCTGACCATAAATCCTGATAATAACAATTCTTAAATACTGCTTTGAATGAATATTTAACATCTTCACCTTGCGACATAGTTTCATAATTATTTTTTAGTATTTTAAAAAGCATAAAAAATAAAATTTACTTTGACAGCAAAACAAATTTTTATCAACATTTAACATTAAAACAAATTTAAACAAATTTTTATTAACATTTAACATTGAAAAATATTTAATTTTGAGCACAAAAAAAATAATTTTGAGAAAGATAACTTTACTATTTTTTAATATAAAATCGTTTATATTTTTCTAGGATTATTTTAGATTCTTTTGTGTGTATCGTTTCCTTTTTCAATATTGAAATAGCAGACTTTTACAGATTTAGCATTTAAATGTTTAAATTTTGCAAATGTTACGTAAGAATCCAAACGATAATTTAGCTCACTTTCTCCATTATGAGATTATTGTTATCTTTCTTTTTTTTTCTTTCTTATCCCAAAATATTGTTTCGTACAATTCGTTACAAAATCACAGTGCATCTTTCGTTCAGCTCTTTCTTCGATTCTTCAGTAAATCGTTATTCAATTTGCACACTTGACTCTCCGATCTATATGCGTAAAAGGGCTACTGCGGCTCTAATCCTATCAATATTACGCCCTTATTTTGTTGTGCTCGTGCACAACGAAACGGAAAAGATAGAGATGACTATCCACGAGGAGGAAAGAAGAGAAAAAAAGGACCTCGGCGGCCGAGCGGCGGAGTGGGGTTGCGCTTCGCCGATAAGAGGAGAAGGAGACCAGATTCCCCCGCCGCTGCTGATGTTCGCGTGGAAGACCGCTGTTGTATGAGCGAGAGAGACACAAAGCACGGAGCGCGATGTGGTGGGGAGTGCTGCGGCTACGGCAGGGAGGAAGAAGGAGAGGACACTCGACATCCCTGCGTCGTGACACACAGCTGATCATCAGTCGGCTCGCGACGCGCGTATGTTTGCGAACGTGTTGAGCGGTTTGAGCGCGCGCGTTGTACGCGAACGAAATGACGGCTGCGGTGTGACCGAGCGAGGTTTATGTTCGCGCACTGGTGTCGTTTCACGTTCTCTATGCGCCTAGACGACGACGAGGACAACGACGGCGACGAGGAGATAGCGGGCAGCGACGGGCAGAAGTGTCGCCACGGCGAAGTTGTTTGGCGAGGGCGGAGAAAGAACGGAGCAGCCGGGTCGATCGACGAGCCGACGGAGTCTATGAGTGGCACGACGACGGCGGACGACGGTTGCGGAAAAGAACGACGGTGGAGGCGGCGCGACGACGACGCCGTTGGCACGCTTGGGTTCATGACAAGGACTTGCGAGGAAGACTCCACGACGCGCAAGAGTGCAGCCGGACTCGCACGAAGCATTAACGCGCACCTCCCCCTTAACGCCCCCGTCATTGTCGCGCTATCTACTAAACCGCGAATATTCATCGGGAACGCACGCGCGCGCGCGCGCACACACACAAAACGAGTGATAAAGAGCGTGTTCGGAAAGGATAGATATATTCCGAAAAATAGGAAGGAGCGAGGAAGGAAGCGCGCGACGGCTATTACCCTTCTCTCCCTTTATCCTCTCTAATTCTTTCTCTCTCCGTATCTTTCCGTTTTGCATTTATCACCGTTCGTCGTTTTTTTCCGCTACCATTTGATACATATAGATATTCTCCGACGGCCTGTACGTTTTTATCTCTCCGTGTATCTAGCCGTGTGAATAGACGGCAGCGCGTGTCGTTTTCGTTATTCGGTGTGCGTAACACTCGCGCGCGTGAGTCGCGAATAAAGGTCGATGACGATGCAACGGGTTCAAGATCAGGACAATGGAATCAACATCAAATTCGGTTCAGGCAAGCACCGGAAGGCCGACTATAGGCTGGTGTCGCAAAGCTCCGATAACAACAAAGACCACCTCAACGGGACCAATAAATCAGGTTGGTAGCGTTGCCAGTTAATTAACACGTCCGAAACAAGCGAACCGTTCATTTTGTTCGGAAAATCTTTTTCAAGAAATCGATAATCGTATATTTTCTATTCAATATTGATTCCGCAATACGATAGCCTTATAAATCGAAACCGAATTTTTAATTTTTTTTTACAACTTTTTACGAAGACACGAAATGACAAAGCGTCACGTAGAATTTAAATAAATTTACAATATTTAAATGACTATCTGGAAATTTGTAAAAGGGAAGTTTGTTTTATCACTAATGTTATTGCAAGTGACGTCAGTGTGACGGATTAATGACGAGGATTGCGAGAAAACGTCAGAGACGCTTGCTTTCGCAAGTGATTCTTATCTTCTTCCATGTTTAGGACGCGTAACGATTTTTGTGAATGCCAGCTGGTGTTATTGAGAGTCTCGATAGAGTTCAAAAATGTGTTGTTGTTCCGTTGCAAACACATTTGTGTATCTGTCACAACTTTTCGAGATAAAGGTTTGTGTTGAATGATAATACTATAATATATTCCGTAAAGTATATTATAATTTATGCAATTGAACATAATAGTAAAAAGGCGAACGAATTATAACTGGTTATTCGTGCTAAAATCCATCTGTTGCGAACGAAATTATTCGTTACATCAAATCACAAACTTTTCTTTTGTATTTGATTTTTTGATATTTTATCATCGGGCCGCGTTATTTCTAAATTTAATAACGATTTAACTTAGTTACGCGTCGTTAAACGTGAATTGGATTTTTAAAATCAACGAAAAATATTCATCTAAAATATCTACAGTAATATAGAATAGAAAACGAAATGATGCTCAATGTGATGTTCACACCCTTATTGTCTTTCTTATCGCGGCACAACTGTATCACCGAAATTATCTCTCAGATACTATCATTATCTCGTAATTTCTTCCCTCTTCAGTCCTCCGTTATGTCCACATTAGAAATTTATTTTTATCATCGAGATATTTCTGCTCTTTTTAATCCTTTCCTATTTCATTGCTACTCCAACTTTCGTTCTTACTGTCTTTTATATAGACGGGACTGCTAAAAATAGAAGAGTTGAATCAAAAATTGGTCGACGAGCCAAGAAGTAAATTGAGCGAGTATAAAACTGACATAACGATCAAAATGCGTTGTGTTTGCCAACACGTGACATCGCTGTAAAATCGTCCCACTTGGTTGGCTTAGTCATAATAATCATTCATAATAACACTACGTTTGAGAGCTTCATTGTTAACAATTTCTTTCAACGAAATCAATTTGTCAAAGACAAATTTTTCATAATATCACTTTACTTCTGGCTTGTAATTTTTTTCATGTTTTACTTTGAATATGTATATAATATTTCAAATATTTAACAGATAGCAATGGAAGAAAAATACTTGTATACAACAAATAAACATAGAATAAGGAAAAGAAAATAATTCATATTGAATATACATTAGCATCAGAAAATAAAACCTTTCAATTTTAACAGTTTTTCCTTTCTTGTGAAGAAAATCGTCGATATATAAAAAAAGGCTGCATGAAAGAAACTTTATTCTCAGTCAGTTTGATTCTTGTCGATAGCTCAGCTCGCCTATTGTCTTATGTATCCATTTGGAAAGCAAGTCAGATTGCACGTCACAATGGAAATAACTTCCGGGTGTGAAGCAGTCGGCATCGGTACAATCCTACGATGTTGCATACTGATGAATATGGCTCTTTGTCGGCGACTGGAGAAATTACAACTTTTTCTTTGTCCACGCGCGCACACACGTGCGCGGAGAGTGTCTACTTTGTCTCTCTTTCCTCTAAGCTCGTGTGAATCGACGATTTATGTCGCATTCCGTGCATACATGACGTTAATACCCGCGTAGTGCTCCTCATCGCTGAACAAGTTTGAGTCGGTTATGCGCGGAAACCAAAATACGAGGAAGCTAGTACCGTTCACCGTTCATTAGCATACCAATCCCCGTCTCGTTATCGTTTCAAAACACGCTTCTCTCGCAGGGTACACATTGAAAGCGTATCGGTTATTATCTCCTGTGTGTTTCCTAATTGCTGTCGTTTACTCGGTCTTCCCCTGACATGTTTGCACATGATTAATAATGTGTAAACCACGCTAATGCTTTCCTATATTTCACTTACCAAACCACATATTGAGCTATTTTCTGTCACAGCTATTGTAAAAATTGACAAAACAAACTTTAAACTTGAAATTAAATACAGACGATGTAAATACGATCAGGTACGAAAGATAACGACACCATTCTATATCGCTATAATCGATGTGAAAACTTCGGAAGGAATGAATAAAAAAAAAAAAAATTCACAACAATTTCCATGTTGCAGAGAAAGGTGAGAAAGTGGAGGAGGAATTAGTCCCACCGGATGGAGGCTGGGGATGGCTGGTGCTCCTGGCTGCCGTTATGGTCAACCTTCTCATTCCTGGCACTATCAAATCCTTCGGAGTATTATTCGTCGAATTCCTTAACGTATTTAATGCGTCACCAGCGGCAGCTGCGTGGATACCGTCGCTCTGTTATTTTCTGTACAGTTCGCTGGGTAAGAATTGTCGTAACGTAATTTTCGAGGACATGTGTTTTTTTAAATATCTTTCTCAGATCGGACGCTCGGTTGTTTTTCCTGCAATTTGTCCTAGTTTCGCATTTGCATTCCATACTAAAAAAGAAAAAAAAATAGAAGAATGTTTTGTTCTGTTTTGATGATTTTGCCTCTCGTGGAGACTTTGAACAAGTCGTGTTCACGTCAATCTAGTTTTACGAAAAGATTAGTGAAAAAATTGAAAAGTGACTAGAGTCATTGATAAATATTAATTGTTAAGTTATATCATACACACAAATATAAATTTTTTTTATCGCAGTCCAATAAAGATAAATATAAGTAATTTATGACACTCGACTCGGAGAGATAGAAAGATCTGTTTGTGTATTGTCCATGAGTGTTTACGTGAACTTTCCCTCAGATAGATTGTAAACTAGGTTGAATTCGAGCAAAGTTCGTTTGGAAACAGTTTCATTTTCAGACGTCTTACAGTGGACATACAGAATTATGCAGAAACATTTACAGCTCAATGAAATTATTTTTCAAGAACAAAATTTAGATAATAAGAAAATAATTAAAAACAAAACAATAATTATAATTTCATCAATGTTTAAGATATCGGAGATACCTATATAAATATCTCCTAAGCACACACGATCCTATTTGCACCTATTGACTCAGTGATATCTTATCATTTCAGGTCCACTCTCTAGTGTACTTTCAGTCAAGTATTCCTATCGTACGGTAACTTTAATAGGGGGGACATTTGCGGCGGCGGGAATGATGCTAAGCTACTACGCGGATTCTGTGGCCTTTCTATGCGTTAGGTAATTATTCTTCCTCTTTTAATAAAAAAAATAGAATAGCTATTTGAGTATTTTTCTCATATAAGATTGAATAGAATCGCTGCACAAAGAAGAGACCAATAGCATTTATTTAAGAAAATAAATAGAAATCTCAAGTTTAAGCTGAAAAACAAAATTAAAAAATTATTTCCAATTTGTCTGTTTTAACGTAAAAATTGAAAAAGCTCATTATTCCTTATTTCTCTTTTTTTAATACCATTAAATTGATTATATGCTAATGAGACCGAACATTTTCAGAGAAATTAGAGAAAAAAAGTTATAAAAAGAAGAAAAATATAAAAAAATTAATTCAGCGATATTAATAAAGATGAGATGAATAAAAAATGTGTAAAACCCAACATATTTTTGAAAACATTTTCGATTCATATGTATCATCTCACGAATATATCTTAAAGCAATTATTACGTAATATATTATTATCATGTAACAGAGACACACGCAAATATTTCTTATATAATCCTCTCTGTTTCCAGTTATGGTGTACTGGTAGGTACAGGAGCGGGATTAGCGTTCCCTCCGACTGTATATATCGTGACATCTTATTTTGTACGGCTACGAGGACTCGCCAATGGACTTTGCATATCAGGCAGTGCATTAGGGTCAATATTTCTTCCGCCTGTTCTGGGCTTTCTTCTACGAGAATATGGTTACAGGTAAGCTAGTGATTATTAATTTAAGCCGATTATGAAGGATTTACCTTTTACTTTAATTAAATAATCAAGTTTAATTAAAAAAATGTGTATTACGACATTGTATTATGACAATATCTGATTCTTTATGAATCGTAAAGGGAGGCAGCATAGATAATTTAATTTCCTGATCAAGTTAGAAAATACTAATTACATTCATTGTGGCAATGATAATTTGACAATGTGCAAAAATGAAATAATAGTAAGAGGAATTAGAACCTTTCTGTTGAAATAGGTAAGTCTTGTCCACTTTTCTTTTTATAAAAAGGCAAAATTTATGATGCTAATAAAAAGACTGCACATATCGAAAACCGATAAATATTACGTGATAAATATTGCGAGACTATCTACAATTTTTCAATTAATCTCTCACGCGCATAATAAAATCTTTCCAGCAATGATAAAAATCTGCAAATTGTCAAGGTTACATCATTAGCCACTAGAACACCGCACCAAGTGTGATATGATCGATGACACGTTTTTTCGTCCGCAGAGGTGCGGTATTAATAATGGGCGCCTTAACGCTAAATGTTTGGGCGAGCGCGCTGTTATATCATCCAGTGGAACGGCACATGATACCGGCTCAACCTCCGAACGATGACGACGAGCGCGATAACGGGGAGACGGACGTATCGGTGACCGTCACCAGCAGCCCGGAGCCAATCGAGAAGAGCAACAATCAACTGATTTTGTCGAACGACTCGAGCGAGAAGGCCGCTCCCATCGTGCCGAAGAGCGCGTCCAGCGTCGCGCTGGAATATTACAAGAACACGCCGGTGCAGGGCCGCACGCGGAAGATCAGCATGCCGACCGGACGCGAGATCAGCGGTCAGATGCACAGCACGCCGACATTGCACGCCGTGCCGGAACGCGGCAACGCCACGACCGATTCCGGCAGATATCCCAAGACGCCTAGGACACCGCTGCACTCGCCCAGCACGTCGTCCTTCAATTACGTCAGCACACCGTACCACGGTAGCACCCTGTCGGTCCTGCACGCGGAGCGCGCATCCACGTTAACGTTAAACGCCATCTCCAGCACGTTCACTAGGAAATCGACGGTGGAACAGAAGCAGCGCGAGGGCAGCGGAAAGAGTCAAGAGAACAAGTTTTTCGACGTCAGCTTGCTCAAGGATCCCATTTACCTCGTCATCCTCATCTCCAATTCCACCAATGCCGTCAGCTATACCAATTTCGTTATCTTGCTCCCGGCCTACGCGATCTCCCTGGGCTTCGACAATTGGCACGCGTCGCTGCTGCTGTCGATTGTGTCCATGCTGGATCTGGTAGGCCGTATCGGCGGCTCCGCTCTTTCCGACATCAAGATCATGCCGAAGCACTGGTACTTCGTCGGCGGTCTCCTCGCTTCCGGGATTTCCTTGGCCATCTTGCCTACTTCCAACGCGTACACCATGCTGTCCGTCTATTGCGCCTGCTTCGGTCTCGCGTCCGGCATCTACGTCGGCATCACCGCCGTCATTATGGCCGACATGCTAGGCACGGAGAAGCTCACCTCGTCCTACGGGATATCGTTATTTGTCAATGGCGTCATTCAATTGATTGGCCCGCCCATTTGCGGTATAGTGTACGAACAGATCGGTAGTTACGGACCGATCTTCAGTATACTCGGCATTATCTTGGTGTTCGGCGCATCTCTCTGGGCCATCGTGCCGTTCATCCGGAGAAGACAGGCGGCATCAGAGAAGTCCGCGAGAATAGACAAAGTATAGTAGACCAAATAAAACGAAGAGTAAAGTTAAGGATTTGTCCATCGGTCTGGATGTTTTTTCATAGTTTTGTAGCATAAGCAATGAAACACTCGTTACAAATCTCTTGATGATATAAATTTTGTTTTCGGTTATTTCATTAAGACGCTCATGGACGGTGAATGTGTATTAAACGTTTGTGTATTGTGTTAAAAAGAAAAGGAACAAAATATTTCTTCCACTTGGTATTTGGACAATAAAATCTAAGAAATGTAAATAAGGTGGACAAATTAATAATATTTTATTATTTTGTTTACACACTGTCCCAAAATTCAAAATATAAAACTATGAAAAAGCAACCAGTCACGCGTGACTCGACACTTTGCGAAGGCACACATGAGCTTAATCGTGCGGTCGAAGTTGCCGTATGAATAGTATGTATGTATGCGCGTATACGCGAGAGTGTGAAAAAGAGAGAAAACGCGAGAATGTGCATTAAACGAATATTAAACTGTGATGTTAGTATGAATGCTGTGTATCGAAGTTTCAAGTGAGCGACATTTTTCGAACTGAACGGCTTACAACAAAACAAAGCTTTGAAATCTAAACGTTTCGAAGTCACTCAGTCCAACGACTTTACACATAAACTGTCTATAGTAATTGACTATTGAATAATAATTAATAATTAATAATAATAATTATAATTGATCGCCAAACAGGGCAGTAAATGTGAGAAAATCTTAATGCAACAAGCGTCTTTGCTAATTGCCTTAAATAATTGCTAATGATTGTTCATTATTAACATTCGTGTGAATTACATTAATTGTTAAATATTATTTTGTTATATAATTATATATATACACACAAATATATATATTTTATTAGCCAATTGATGGGTAAAAATAATTTATTGTAATATTTGTTATCAATAATTTTGATTTATATGCGCACAGAGTGAAGTAATTCTATTATCTGAAATGTTTTCTTATTATATAAAATGAAATGTTGTATATGCATTTTCATGGCTTGAAGAAGCTACAAAATCAAGTTGTTGCTTTTTATCGTGAAAAATAATTTTATCAAGCAACATTTAATTATTAAAATAAGGCATTGAGGAGTGCACGGGCAAAATGCATTTAAAGTTGACGTACTTACAATGGTAAATAAGATATACTTAAAAAGTAATAAGTACTTAAGAGGATAAAACTCTAAGAAGTTTATAAATAATCGAAGTTTCTTTTGCATTTTTAAGAATAAAGATGATGAAATATGTTTGTCCTTTGGAAATTGTATGAAAAGTATAAACATGTAACAATTCGTTTTAAATTACAAGAAATCAAAAAGTTGCGGCTAGCAAAATCAGCTTCACTCTGTGTCTGCGATATTATTTCGATTTAATCACATTTACCGCAAATGATACACATCGTTGTATCGGCGACGAGGTGCCCCGCACAATGCAACCTCATGCATTATAGTCTATCTTTGACTATAAAGTAGATTATTTAGGGAAACAATTTTCGAAAGAAGAATTTTTGAGAAACACAAACGCTTCCTTCTTCAAAAACGGACAAAAAGCAAAATCTCTTGCCTTATATCCGAAAAAAGATTGTCCTCTCTATGAAAGTAAAATTTTTTTCATCGATACGAAAAATATAATCTAGATTTAATCAAGTACTTAGTAAAAAAAAAAAAAAAAATAAACGGTACGCGGCTGATGCTAATTCGCATCGGAATGAAAATGCGATGACATAATTTAGCGCACATACCAATTTAGCCTCTAATGAATCTAGGATGCAGTAAATCGACACGTGCACTATAGATATACTGTATATTTCTAAAGACTCGATTGTATGTGTAAACTCAATCGTAATGCTAGAACGACCGGAAGTGGATCCTATCTGTAAGAACCATTGTTTCTGTAATAAAATGGAGCTAAGAGCCGCTTTCCGATAGAGGCTGCCCTTTCTTCTCGGAATTGAGAATAAATTAATTAAGACTTGTGGCCATATAAGCAGGATATAACCGGCGAAATGTAATCTTTAGCCGTTCTAGTGTTAACGTTGTCTCTTGGCGCACGAAAGAGACTTGGTCAATTCGTTTTCCAAGCTTTTTCGAAATCCGCCGGAAATAATGCCTTATGAATAGGTCATAAGCAGTTTGTAAGTAATATATATAAATATATTATGTTTATAACTCTATACAGAAATACAGAAATTAAAAAAAAAAAAAATACTTTAAAATAATATATAATATTTTCCTACTAAATCTTCGCATATTTAAAACTAATTATTTAAACTTTATATTACAATTTGTATGTTTTTTTCATTTATAACTATATTATCATTATCATGTATAAAAATATTAATTCTAAATTAATCAACATTGGGATTAATAGTTCTATGGGTGATATGAATAATTAGGAGCATAAATTGAAATAATTTAGAATTTAAAATATCAGGGTATATCATTTTCTGTATTTCCCAAACAAATGTCCAAATTAGACATTCAGAAGTAGTTAACAAGAAAAACAGATATTTATTACATTAAATTACTTTTTTTTATAATATACTTTACACTTACTTGGCTCTATGACTATAATCTAGTCGAAACAATTACTTTTCTTTAGAGACAGGTTCAGAAGATGGCGGAGCATCCCTGAAATTAGGGAATTGTTCCCATGGAGCAGCTAGTTCAAATTTACGAAATTCCTGAGCCAATTCCAATGGTTCAATCACTATTCTTTTATATTCGTCGTCATAGCGTACCTGAAATAATCATCAAATTTTAAAGCAAACAAATTAGTCTAGTCTCTAAATTTAATATACTTTATAATTGTTTTCAATGCTTCAAGAAATACATATATTACTTCAATAAGATTTGAACAATGTTGATTGTGATAGAACAAAAATTATTGTAACCGGATTTTTAAAATGTAAAGATTTAAAAAGTGAAATAATTAATTTAATGTTAATATGTTATAAAATTAATTGATATATCAGCTTTAATTGAATGATTACCTCGACATATCCGCTGAGTGGAAAATCTTTCCTTAATGGATGCCCTTCAAAGCCATAATCTGTAAGAATTCTACGAAGATCGGGATGATTTGAGAAGAATACACCGAACATGTCCCACACTTCTCGCTCATACCAATCAGCAGCTTTAAATATACTGTTTATTGAGTCAACTGGTGTCAACTCATCAGTGTAGGTTTTTACTCTGATACGTGAGTTGTATCGCAGTGACAGCAAGTTGTAGACAAGCTGTAAAAATATGTACATTGTTTTAATTTATGTCACATTTGCATGTGTTTGTAATAAAAATGTAAGACCTACCTCAAATCTATATTGTCTGCTGGGTACATCTAGTGCAGTAATATCTGCCAAACTGACAAATTGTGTATTATGATGGTCTTTTAAAAATGTAAAGGTAGGGATGATGCCATCAGGAGCGATGAGCAACTCAAGCTCATCACCAGCAGTCAGCTGTACTTGTTGTATGTACTTTGGTAGACAATCCTCAATATAGGAACCGAAATTTCTCAAACGCTTCACATCAACATGACTGGGCTTACGTACCGTAGCTATAAAAAGATGCTGCTGTTAAATATTTTGTATACAAATACGTTATATAAAATATTCTAGATTACTTTTATTGACAAATATTGTAGCAGAAATAATGTGTTAGAACACTTCTGACAAATCGTAAATGTAATGTAATTAATTTTTAAACATTGAGCTTTAACAGATAAAAAATCATTATACGTACGACGAGTCTCGGTTTTTTCAGTTTCCTCGTTGACTGTGGTGGTGTTACATCGTACTGATGAAGCGACAGCATAACCTGTCAAACAAATACATATGTTATTATATAATTCGATGAAAATACCGTTCGCACAATCAATATTCTATTACTTTTCGGCACAGCGATTGGCAGATTTCGTGGCAATCTCCAACAATTTCTCAATATCGAAGTCATCTTTCCGCAGAATTAAAATATGACTACAAGTGCGATTATGATTGCAACCACTAACATTCATACATTATACGTACATACTAGTCAAAAACTTAAACTGTGATACATACAATCAGATACTGAACTATACGTGCCAGACTGACTTGTAGCGATAAAACTTTTGATGATGATTGTACCATCAAAGGAGCCTATGACAAAAAGAGACACATCTATTTTGCTGCTCTCTTCGTCATCCCGCGTCTTAAAAATACATGGCTCAATTCAGTACATACCTAATAATCTAGAAAGTTACTTAAAGAATCAGAATGCACATACATACATATTAATATGTACAAAAATAAAGAGCAAAGGTAAAAACACTTGGTGAGGGCTATATTGGGCTATATTTTTGTCTGCCAATAAACTTATCAAGTAAAAGCAACAGGCAAAAGAATTGAATCATCATAGTCTCATCCTTTCTAGTTTGTTAATAAAATCATTTTAGTTTATGATTTTACATGCTTTTATATTGGTTTAAAAAGTTTAATTTTTTTAATTTGCAGTTTCTCCAATTGGATCATAATTATCCATATTAAGGAAACCAGATGATTGTCTAGGTATGGATATTTTTTATTTTATAATTATTAATTTATCTATTATAAATTGTTATGAATAAGTACAAATACATTGAGATTTAATATTAATTTTTCTCTGCAAAAGTTAAATTTAAAGTTGATCAAAATATAAATCTGCAAAATTTAATCTGCATCAGATACGTCAAAATCATTACTGAACATGAAATAAAGAAATTATTACATAATCTTTGTAATAAAACATCAAGCAAAAGTATCTATACTATCAAGTAAATAATAATGTATCAAACAATTAATCTAATTTGATGTACAGTAAAGGAAAAAAGGTTGAAATATTTTTTTTGCTTCTGACAGCTATTTGATATTTCAAATATAATTTCAGAGAACTAAAAGTCTTAAATGATTTAAAAAGCTTGTGAACAATTCTAAACAAAACAAATCATTAATAAGTAATATGTTTTATAGAAAGTAATATTTATTTATATTTCCAAAAAAATGCTGGCTTTGGGAGATCATGTTCATCATTTAAAAAAGTTTTAATGATGAAAATAGAAAGTAGTGTAAATTCAGAAGGTATAAATTCACAAATAAAATTTGACAAAAATAAAAATATTTTTGTATCAGATATATTATAGATCTATATATATAATACTTTTATATTTTAAAAAAGAATTTAAATAATATATTTATAAAGTTTATAAATCTATAAATTGGATATATCAATTGAGTATAAAAACACAATATCCATTAAGATATATCCTTATATTTTAGAAGAATTAATGAATTGTTATAGAGTAATTCTTAAAACTTGTCTCAAAATCACTCTCAGTAATAAACTATCTTAATGTCAACTGGATTGAATAGTTTTAAAAATGTTGTGTCGTTCTAATGCTTGCAATTCCATAAGTACAGTAGCTATAGTATGCCTCAATTGATGAAACTTTGCCAAAGACAATTCAAACGTCACACATTCGCCTGTATTCAAGATCCATTCCATCACGATATTTGGTTCTAGTACTCTGTTTAATAGACTGCAATTGAAAATTATATCAGTATTTCTAACATACACATACAATTATAAATATATGAAAATTTGGCCTTGTATATTAATTATTATTTTATGATAAATTGTATAAAAGTTAAACATACTTTGAGGAAATAGTAATATCCACACGCCATCTGCAGGATATCAACTGTGCATTAAACTTTGTTCTTTGAATTAGGCCTGATAATAGATCTGTTCGCTTTGGACCATAAAGCACAGAAGACAAATCTTCGATACAGTCCGAAGTTAATCTGTAGTAAAAAGTCGATAGAAAATTTTCATTGAGAGAAAAAAATATACTGTAACTTTTTAAATAATATTATAATCAAATATAAATTTAGTATTGATTTAGTGTGGAAATATGAATATTATTACAAGATATTAATTATGAAAAATTAGTAAACATATACAGATGTACTTACTTCAATTCTTCTAAGCATTGCTTGAACTCCACTTGTTTAACATTATGGCACTGTGAACGTAGATGCATTTTCAAAATTGTGAAAATGGCAGCATAATATTCATCCACCTGTTCTTCAGGTATGTTATATTTTTTACTTATTCGCTCTAGTACACCTTCTTCTATATGTTCCAATTCTATTGCTTTCACAGCAACTGCAATTTATTTAATGTGCTGATGTATGTATATATAGCATGTGTAATACTATTATAAATGCATTAGACTATGTTTATTATATATATAGTGTCAAAATATTTATTATAATTGGTTCTACTTAATTTAAGATTTTTGTTTCCTCATTGCAGCAACGTAGAATTGACATTAGAAATGAAAAACACGATTTTTCACTTCTAATGTCAATTCATGAGAGATCAGGAGCATTTATTATATTTATTTAGAATAATAAAATGTTTAGGAAAACCTGTTAAACTAACGTTGTATTAACGGACGCGCGAATGCCTTTTTTAATTCGGCCAGATATTTTGTTTTACTTCCTAAAACGTTCAAGAGTTGCGTTTGAAAAGACGTCGTCATTTTTATTATAATGACGATTCAAAAAAAGGTTTGACAAATCTCAATTGATTCTAGCTGAAACCAAATCTAACCTCACTTATCTCGTAATATTTACAGTGCAATTCCTGTTCGGTACCGCTATCTGCATTCATTTTAAGAAATTACACGGTTATATTCATTTTCTGACAGTGCCGGTAAATGACAGTAACTTAATTTAAAATGATTCCAGAATGACTGTTCTCAGACTTCTTTTTTATAATAGTGCAACGATCGATTGATTATAGAATTTCTATTATTGTCGACAATTCTTAATTTATTCACTGACAATTAGATAACATGGAATTTATATTTGAATAAGAAATTTGACATTATCGACTGTTTTTACTAACCTTTTCAAGCGGATATCCCGCCATTTTGAGCCTAGTATTGATGTGTTGTATTGATTAATGTTACAATTTATAATTATTCTGATGTTTCGTAGGTAGGTATATCAATCTCCGTATAGCGCGATATAGTGGCATGAATGCGTCAGGCTCTTCCGGCTTAAAATTTTTGTTTTACTTTTATTTTCTTTGCAATTAAGAAACTATTTAGATGGTTTTAAAGTTTCTAACCAACATTTATGATGTCTAGACACTATGTTTGACCGAAGATGTAAGACATTTATAACATCATATGTATATTTTTTGTGAAACCATTTCTGCAAATAATTGACAACACTTTTTAATTATTTCAAAAGTTTACTTGGTTAACTTAGTTAAAGAATTTATCTGAAATCTGTGATCTTTATGTGTGGTTATAATCTCATTGCTCTATACATTACAATGAATTAATATTAATAACTAAAGATAAATTATTGGTTACAGTGATATGCTACATGATTCTTTAATCTATATTTATATAAATAAAATTAAAATTAAATTTTAACTACTATAGGGTTTAATACAAGGCAAGAAGATTGAATAAATGCATTAATAAACCAAGTTGGAGTAATGCCTATCATCTGACCGTGTGGCCGTAAT